GCTTCACTTTGAAGACCCATTTTCCACCTATAGCCTTTCGCCCTGGAGGGAGCTTCACAAGCTCAAAGGTGCCACTCTCCTGCAGTGCATTCAATTCCTGCTGAGCTGCCTCATACCATTTTTCACTTTCCTCTCCTGGCCGAGTCATCGCCTCTGCAAGTGTCTTTGGTTCATTGTTGGGTGCAGATGCTTGGTTTGCCATCTCTACTGCTGTCTGAAATGCAAGCTCAAGAGCTTCTGTATATGTGATATAGTCATCATCATGCAATACAAAGGTCATTCCTGCGACAACATCTGTCTCAGTAAGCTCTGGCTCAGCAGTGGTTTTATCAATGGGATCAGAAAGGGGTTCATCTGAGTCTGGTGAGTTCATCGCATTGGTGCCAGAATGTTTACGGCGAAAACCACGTCCAGTGTTTGGAGATGGGATTATAAGACCTTTAGAGTCGTATTGTGGCTCGAAGCATGCCCGAGGACGTAAAAGTGGTGAAGAGGGTGTAAGAGATGTCGGAAGACTTGATAGTGGAGTAAGAGGTGATTTTGGAGGTGTTTGCATATTTGATAGAATGGACGGAGCTGGCAAGGATGGTGATGATGATGATGATGGGAGTTGCTCAGATGGTGGAGATGGCTTATCAGTAGGTATGTTTTCTCTCCCTTGATGAGGCATCGCCACATCAGGTATAGCAGTATCTGTGCTGTTATGTCTGTTTGTGGGAGATGTATCGTCACCAAGAGGATTTTTAATATTTTTATGATTTCCAGGAAATACATGCTCATCGAATACAGCATGGCTGGAGGTGATGAACCGCTGTATAAATGAGTTCCAGAATAGCCAGCCTTTTACTCCCTCTGGATATCCAACAAAGATACATTTTTGGGTGTGTGACTCTAATGCTCGACATCCCTTTTTTCATACTAGCACATACGCAAGACATTCAAACACGCGAAAGTGGGATATATCTGGTTTTCAGTGATTTGGGTCCCATTCTGTGAAGGGTGTGGTGTTTGGAAGAGGATCTGTGGGAATGCAATTTCAGACATGAATGAATACTCGGAGAGCGAGGTTCCAAAATGATGGTGGAAGATGTGACTCATTTAGCATGGCAGTGATGGCCTCTGCAATTGTGCGGTTGGCTCGTTCTGCTGTGCCATTCTGGTATGGTTCATCGGGTTCAGTATGTCGTCTTTTGATTCCATGCTCAGCACAGAAGTCGACAAACTCCTTTCCCATATATTCACCACCTTTATCTTCCTGAAACTCAATGATTTTGAGTCCTGGGTGGGTATTCTCTGCATATGCTTTGAACTGCTTGAAGGCATTAAAGGCATCACTTTTATACTTCAGAGGTGCGACAGCCCAAGTGTCAGATGCACTGCAGATGAATGTTATCCAGTAGCGATAGCCCTCTGGAGTTGCGACAGGCATTGGACCTTTGATATCACTGTATACTCGCTCAAGAAGGTGTTTCTTCCGCTCTGAGGGGCCACGAGGAACATTGTGGCGATGCTGTTTGCCAGTGAGGCATGGTATGCAGATAGGATCAGTTGGGGGACCTGACTCTTGCTTCATTCCAGTTACTAGCTGCTTTGTATGCATGTGCCGTATAGTGTCCATGTTTCGATGACAGCAATGTCTGTGCCAAAGTGTGTTGTCCATCCGGCAGGTACTTGTAGAGCTTGAGTTTGCAATGATAGTGGTTGATTTTGAGAATGAATGTGTGGTAGCATTGATATAGCCAATATTGCTCTCATTTACAGTTGCTGTGAATCGGATCTTTTCACCCTGGCTGAAAGTGACATCTGATCCAGTGATTGAGATCCTGAATCCCTTTTCCCATGTAAGATGATAGGGTGATAAGAGATTACTTTTCAATGCTGGTACATGTAATGTGTCAAGAAGTTCCACCACCGAGCCTTTCTCCCCCTGAATCTCTGGCTCCAATACTACTGACCCAATCCCTGCTGAATAAATGACTGAATTGTCTGCAAGACGAATGGGAACGACATGTGGAGCATAGAGTCGGAACCATTGTCGGTGAGGGGTCATATGACGAGAAGCACCTGTATCAGTATTCCAATGAGACACAGCAAGTGATGATAAATCAGTACTTGCTTGGCTAGCAGTCTCCTCCTTCATCTCGGCAGAGTTAGCAGCTTCTGAGTCCTTCTTTCCGGCCCCCTTGTGACAATACTTCCCAGCAGTACAGTCAGCAGCATGTTCATAGTCCTGTTTAAGTGAAAACTTCTTGGTTATACATTCTTCTTCTGCATGATTCTCACGAAGGCACCATCCACATTTTGCAGCGGCATTGGTGGCCC